TGTGTGTGTGTTTGTGTTTGTCCTTGTGTGTGTGTGTGTGTGTGTTTGTGTGTGTGTGTGTGTGTGTGTGTGTGTGTGTGTGTGTGTGTGTGTGTGTGTGTGTGTGTGTGTGTGTGCGTGTGCGTGACTGTGGCGATGGATTGCGCTGTGATTATCTGTCTCTGCATGTGTATTTACCTTTCAGAGATGAAACACTGCCACCACTCCTCCGATCCATTAGCCAGACAGTGTGTGTGTCTAAAAGACTGATTAAATGTGTGTGTCTCTGTTGACGAATGCTACTTTCAGAAGTCAGACATCGATATATTGCATTATGCCCAGCTATATTCATTTGAATTGAAGGTAGCCGGTTTGATACTTTAGAGCTAGATGGTGGCACAGAAACCGTATGCGGCAATGATACATTCTTGTGCAAGTTTAAAATGTCTGAAATTTCTGAAATGACCTTTTGTGTGGTGTGTAATAAAGCTGCATTAAGGCCTTACCTGTCTGACACATCAGTGACACATCAGTTATGGTACACAGTATAATAAGAAAAGAGTAGATCCATCTGACCAATCAGAGCAGAGTAGAGCCATCTGACCAGTCAGAGCAGAGCAAAGTCATCTGACCAGTCACAGTAGAGTTAAGCCATCTGCCCAATCAGAACAGACTTAGCTTGTCTGACCAATCAGAACAGTGTGAGCACACTAAAGCACATCTGACCAGTTTGAACAGAGTAGAGCCATCTGACCAATCAAAATGAACTTAAACCGTTTGACCAATCACAACAAACTTGGCAAATCTGACCAATTAGATCGGTCAAAGGCCATCTGATCAATTATAGCAGAGTCATATGACCAGTCAGAGAAAAACAGAGCCATCTGACCAATCAGAGAAGACCAGAGCCATCTCACCAATTAGATAAGACCAGAGCCATCTGACCAATCAGAGAAGACCAGAGCCATCTGACCAATCAGAGAAAAGCAGAGCCATCTGACCAATAAGAGAAGACCAGAGCCATCTCACCAATTAGATAAGACCAGAGCCATCTGACCAATCAGAGAAAAGCAGATCCAACTGACAAATCAGAGAGAACCAGAGCAACTGACTAATCAGAGAAGAGCAGAGCCAACTGACCAATCAGAGAAGAGCAGAGCCATCTGACCAATCAGAGAAAAGCAGACCCATCTGACTAATCAGAGAAGAACAGAGCCAACTGACTAATCAGGATGAGAGCCATCTGACCAATCAGAGAACAGCAGATCCAACTGACCAATCAGAGAAGAGCAGATCCAACTGACTAATCAGAGAGGAGCAGAGCCATCTGACCAATCAGAGAACAGCAGATCCAACTGACTAATCAGTGAGGAGCAGAGCCATCTGACCAATCAGAGAAAAGCATATCCAACTGACAAATCAGAGAGAAGCAGAGCCAAATGACAAATCAGAGAGAAGCAGAGCCAACTGACAAATCAGAGAAGAGCAGAGCCTTCTGACCAATCAGAGAAGAGCAGAGCCATCTGACCAATCAGACAAGAGCAGTGCCAACTGACTAATCAGAGAAGTGCAGAGCCAACTGACTAATCAGAGAGAAGCAAAGCCATCTGACCAATCAGAGAGAAGCAGAGCCATCTGACCAATCAGAGAGGAGCAGTGCCAACTGACAAATCAGAGCACAGTTATCTCTCAGTAAGGCAGGTCTTATGGAGAGTTGATCCTTAAACAAACTGTTTCAGACACTATAAATTCTGATGCTGCAGTTGATATTAGAATATTATTAATAATTGTTGGTTTTATATTATTGTAAACCTGTTCAGTTTTAAGGTGAATCCTGCTTTGTGATACAACCAGAATCTGCAGTGTTTTGTATGTGTGTTTGTTTGTTTGTCCCTGTGTTGTAAATGTGTGTGTGTGTGTGTGTGTGTGTGTGTGTGTGTGTGTGTGTGTGTGTGTGTGTGTGTGTGTGTGTGTGTGTGTACTGTAGGGCTGCAGGGATCACACTGTAGGACCGAACTGTGGCCAGTGTGCTCCTGGATATTATGGAGACGCCACTAGAGGAACTGCAGACGACTGTCAGCCCTGCGCCTGTCCTCTGCTGAGCCCCGCAAACAAGTACGTCCAGAACCAGCACATGCACAACAGCAAACAGTTGATGACAGATTGACAATGTCATATTTAAGGACCACAGTTTGCCCCCGAAATACACATTATTGCTTCAAACCACTATAGGCTTTACCCACTCCACAGTTACCGAGATTTGTTTCCAGATTTCAAATAGAATAACATGTATCAGAACCGATTTGTTGATGTGTTACTAAAAAGTACAGTTCAGAAGAAGGTACCGATGTGTAGCGATGTCACCTCACAGCAAGAAGGTCGCTAGTTCGAGTCTCAGTTTGCATTTCTGTGTGGAGTTTGCATGCTCTCCCCATGTTCGTGTGGGTTTCCTCCACAGTCCAAACACATGTGGTGTAGGTGAATTGGGTAAGTTAAATTGACCGCAGTGTATGTGTGTGAATGAGTGTGTATGGGTGTTTCCCAGAGATGGGTTGCAGCTTGAAGGGCATCTGCTGCGTAAAACACATGCTGGATAAGTTGGCGGTTCATTCCGCTGTGGTGACCTCGGATTAATAAAAGGACTAAGCCGACAAGAAATTAAATGAATGATTGAACTGAAAGTCTTTAAAGGGATAGTTCACCCAAAAAACATTTAAATGTACTTATTATTTACTCACTTTCAAGTCTTTCATTCATGAGTTCATTTCATTTGTTGATCACTAAAGTAGATATTTTGAAGAAAGCTGAAAACCTGTAACCATTGACTTCCATTGTACAAAAAAACCCAAATACTATGGAAGTCAATGGTTACAGGTTACCGACATTCTTCAAAATATCTACTTTTCTGTTCAACAGAATAAACGATTGAAACAAATGACAGAATAATCACTTTTGGCAATCGATGAATCACAGTTGAGACGCTTATTTAGTTTGGACTGAACTTATTTTAAGCATGCTGGCGTCTATGAATATCACCTGTAGCTGGAGTCTATGATTTCAGCTCTAGGCTAATAATGGCTGTAGCATGCTAGTGGGTAATCCCGAAAGAGTTCCCAGAATTCAACAGCTGAGCATTCCTCATCTAAAGAAAGCGTCGCTGGCCTCCGCATTCCCAGCATGCCCCTCAGCCAGGCTCCGGTGTCGTCCGAAATAGCCCAATAGTCATCATGCTAGGGCTGATGGCCTCGCTGTGCAGGGTGTGAGGCAGAGAGAGCGCTGATGATCAGTGGGAAGGATGTTTTTAATTCGCTTATCTTTTGTCTGTCTTTTTGTCTCCACATTTGCTCAAAAACATCGCAGTTTCAGTCCCACGTGTCGTGTGGATGGCAGGGGCGAGGTGATCTGCGACCGATGCCCGCCGGGGTACACCGGATCACGCTGCGACAGGTAAGAAGACCAGGGTTTACATCAGATCTTAGATACACTGAAGTGCATCACCCCAAAATCAGCTCACCATTTACTTCACACACCTTTATGTTGTTGTTGTTGTTGTTGTTGTTCCCTGCTAAAAAATCCAGCCTAAACCAGCCTAGGCTGGTTGGCTGGTTTTAGCTGGTCGACCAGCCTGGTTTTAGAGGGGTTTTGGTCATTTCCAGGCTGGTTTTCGGCCATTTCCAGCCTGGTCTCAGCTGGTCTAACTGGGAGATGACCAGCTAAAACCAGCTTGACCAACCTAGCTCGGACCCCATGCAAAACCAACTATGTCCAACTTATAACAGTC